CACATATGGCTCCACCGGCCACAGCTCTGCTCGGGGCCTCCCCACACTGAACTGGCACCTGTCCAGGTTCTTGCAAAAGCTGTGCCCCAGTTGGTGGATCCTGAGTCCCCTGTGTGAGCCACCTCGGCCTGTGAGACCTGAGCTGGACGATCAGACGCAACTGACCTATGGCTGAGGGTCTTGTGCAGCCCCAGGCTAGGACTGAGTGCCACAGTGTATACTGTTACCAGTTTAATGTATTTCTTGTCCACAAGGACATCCCCTATAGAGTCTCATGCCACATCTCAGAAAAACTAAGACAGGTTGGCACACTGGTTGCATCTGTCCCATGAACTAAAAAAAAGTCACTGTTGTTATTTTTTTTTTTATCCAATATTCCTAATAAACTGAGCTTTTCTACCCAAACTTCTTTAGGTCAATTAAACTGCAATTTCTATTGTTTCCCTAGATTTTCTGAGTTAGAATAGAATAGACCTTTATTATCCCACGGATGAGAAATTTCGGTGTTACAGAGCTCTTACAGTAAAGGAAAATAAAATGTAAAAGGAAGACACAAGGTGGTCCTATAATCCCTATGTGGTCTGCTGGCTGTTGCAAAAGAACAAACTAGGGTACTTACCCAGGTTTTGGACCCAGGATTTTGAGTTACTGTGAGGATTTGGTATTCATGTATTATTTATCAGTTTATTATCAGTTTATTATTAGTTTATTATTAGTTTATTATTGAGTACTCTGGATGTTTGAATATTGTTGGGTTGTGTTTTAGTATAATTATATTTCATTTCTTTATTATTCACATTTCTTGTGAATCTCAGTTGTGGTGATATAGTCTTTAGTTGATCTTCCTGTTCCTTTAGTCTCTTGCTGCTTACTATTTTATAACTTCTAGGGACAGTTCAATTATGTGATAGCTTGTATTTTGGTTCCCATCTTGTTGTTTATCTGTACTAGTAGTAATAGTTACATCTTCCCTGTATTTCCATTTGCGCCTTAGTGCTTAACCCTCTGTCTTGTTTGTGTTAGCCTGGACAAACCAACCTTTCAATTGAAATGTGATCCAGAGTGGATGAAAATTCACCTAAAAACCTAACCACCTATACGTTTAATTTGTTGTACGGAATTCACCAAGTTACTTTCCCGGTGAGACTGAGGATTTAGAAACTCCAAAAACGATTAGGAGCCACGAAAGAGTCACAGGGCTCAGCCATGCCAAGAAACCATCTCATCAGAAAGCAGCGGTGAAGCTGAACTATACCATCCCCAGGGAGAGGTTGTATATCAGAGAAATGTTAAGAGACAGCAGCGAGGACTTCATATTGAGTGAGTCATGTGTCATTGTAGGTGATTGATTTTCTGACCTGTAGCTACAGGAGAGTTGGCGCTGCCCTAGTGTTGGTGCCTTTGAGTCAATGTGTGTGTGAGGCTGATGGGTAGCATTGACTGCTGATAAGACGGTCGATGGGAGCCTGGAATGACTCTGTCCACACATCGCACTTTGGTCTCTTTCCCAAAGGTATGAGTAACAGTTTTTATCTTTTGTTTATTTGTTTGTGTAGACATAAACTATCCTGACACAAAGATAACATACAGCAGAGTACAAACATTCAAAAATGCCACAAGTTTATGTTTTTCTGGCATGGCTCTACACTCCACTTTGATTATGGACAAACAATATTATACCTGACCTTTGTAACTTATTTCTCCCAATATCAGTAACAATTTTAAACCACTGAGACTTGTACAAGAATCCAATGCAAAAACTCGCAAAAATTAAAGTAATCAAATAAAAAGTACTAAAATTTCTCAGTTTAATAAAAGCAAAAAAAGAAAAATAATGACCCAATTTGAGTAAATATTCCACTAAATAAACAGGAATTACAGACAGTAAGGAATTGTTCAGGCTACGTGTAAAAAAAACAAAACAAAAAGAAGGAGTGTAAGGCACCGAGCACACTAAATGAGTGTGATTTTTTGTTCTTGCACGTAATTACCTATGGTTATACTTATAAGTCTACCTGTCAGATGAATAAAAGCAAAAAACAATATAATATTTTCCTCTACAATGATGGTAGCAGCATAGTAAAAAGTCTCACCAGTACAATCCTGGGTCTGCCACTCCAGACACTGGCCGTAGGGGAAGGAAATGACATACGCAGAGGAGTCTACACAGCGCTGAGTACTTCCACACCACATGCACTCCATGGCCTGGCTGGTGCAGTTGGCACAGCTGGTGCGCAGAGCACAAGGCGTCTTACAGGGACGAGCACTCTGACTCTGGGGACTCCCTGAGCAAGGGA